AAGCCAGCAGTCGCAGACCATCCAGATCAATTTGAAAGGAAACAATCTTGTTCATGCCCTAGCCATGGATTAACAGCAGAAGCAATAGCCAACACCATAGGCATCTCAACCATAGGTTCAGCTTACAAAATACTGATAGAAAAATTATAAGCTGAGAAGACTTTCTGCTTGATGGAAGCCATAACCATTGCACACAGATCAGTTGCAGACAAGAGCAGAACTTTCAATGAAAATTTTAAATAAATGGGTTCAAGACACTGAAGTATTTTTTGGAAGAACTTTAACAGGAGATGAAACATGGCTTGATCAGTATAATCCTTAACACAAAGCAATGGTTACCTAGATGTGGACGTGGTCGAGTAAAGCAAAGGTCATGGCAACAGTTTTTGTGATGTTCAAGGTATTGTACTTGTTGAATTTCTGGAAAACTAAAGAATAATAACATCTAATTATTATAAGACTGTTCTGTGAAAGTTAGGGAGTTTTGGGAGAAAAATATCCAGAGAAGCTTAAGCAGAGCATCCTTCTCCACCATGACAATGCCCCCACTCATTTTTCACACCAATTAAGGGCAATCTTGTGAGAGTTTTGATGGGAAACATTAGGTATCCAGCTTACATTCCTGATTCTGACTTTTTTTTTGTTACCCAACCCTGAAAATAAATCTTTAAAGGATACCCATTTTTCTCTAGTTAATAATACAAAAAAATAAAACAAAACAAAAGAAAAAACTATCTTTAACATGGTTAAATTCCCAGGGCTCTCAGTTCTTTAAGGATGGACTAAATGGCTGGTATCACCACTTACAAAAGTGATTTGAGCTTGATGCAATTTATGCTGAGAAATAAAGTTTATATTTTTCTTTTAATTCTATTTTTCCATAGAAGTCTCTAGTCCCTCTATGGTATAAATGGTTAACACATTTGGCTGCTAACCAAAAGGTTGGAGGCTTGAGTGCATTCAGAGGTGCCTCCAAAAAATAGCCTGGTGATAAACTTGCAAAAAATTAGGCAGTGAAAACCCTATGGAGTATAGCTCTACTCTGAAACACATGCGGCTTCCATTAGTTGGAATCTACTCAAGTGTAACTGGTTTGGAGTTATTTTGCTACTGTGTGTGTCTGTAAAATAGGATGTTTTTAATATAATATGTTAAGGAAAAACTGTTGTTCATATATAACGATGTCACAAATACAAAGTATAGTCTGAGTAGTAATTTGGTTTTAACAGTCCAGATCTATCTGATTCAAATGTCAATGTTCTTCCTACTAAACCAGGCTCCTGCTATGAAATAATGAGAGTTTAAGGAAAATAATAAAAACATAATGAGACAATAGACTCAAGATTCAGAATGGACCTTTTTTTGAGTTGCTCAGTACACCACACTTGGATTCAGCAGCCCTGGAAAAGGTACAACCATATATGTAGGCTAGGAAGTGAGATACTGAAAGAGGAATGGAAGTGATAATTCTGAAAAAAGAGTGATGGGAACGGATGACCACAGGCACATATAGAGGAAGGAGGCTGGTCTTTCTCTAAGAGATGAGTAAATTAGAACCTAACTGAGATGGACAAGAGGAAACAAGAGGGAATAAAACCTCAGAGAAGTGAACCTTTTCTCAGAAAAGAAATTAAGTTACAGGTTTCCCTATTATTCAAAAGTATAGAATTCCTATGAAATCTTTCATAGGCTGCAATGGTGTACAGCAATTACCACTGATTTAAATGGGGGAAAGTGTTGAGCATTCTCAGAGTCAAAAAATAACCTACCAAATCATAATAACACATTTAACCTAAAACACTAACATACAGCAAAAGCAGGAATGATAGGCTAACTTCCTGCCTACATAATGTAGAAATAATTTATGTAGATTATAGTTTCTGGGGAAGGAACTTGGTAACACTACTGTAGCTGCTAAGAATACATGCAGCCTCTTTAACTGCTTGCTGCAAAACAGTTGCTAACACTATTTTCACTTTTCACCTTTTTTCTTAAAAGTAAAAATACTCTTTGGATTCCTTTTGGTTAGTGAAAACAGGTACTAACTAAGGTAGCAAACTTTCAGAAAGTAGAAATACAGGTGTTGGCTCTAAAAGCTTTTGAGGAAATGAAACAAAAAGAGGACTATCAATACTAAATACCCTCAGGGCAGAGGACACCAACTGGTCCTATTAAACCAGTCTCCACACAAACTGTCTCTTGCATCCTGCAGGATTTCAGGCATGGCAAAGCTAGGGATGAGGCCTATTCAGAATTAGGGACTAGAAAGATAGGTATACAGCATGTGAAGCATTCCAGGGTATTAATACCCAGTTTGATACCCAGGTGACTACATGTGTCACAGCAGAACTGTGCTACATGGGGTTTTCAATGGCTGAGTCTGTTGGAAGTAGACTGACAGACTTTCTTCTGAGGCAGCGCAATAGGTAGACTTGAACCTCCAGGTTTTTGGTTAGCAGTCGAGACCATTAACCACCACTCAGGAAGTAGGTTATTAATAAGTGCTTAGTTAAAAACATCTAACTATGGGATGCTGGGTGCACTGTTATTGTTAAGTGCCTTTGAGTTGGTTCTGACTCATAGCAACCCTGAATTGGGTTTCCAAGGAGCAGCTGGTGGGTTTGAACTGTCGATCTGGGGGGTAGCAGTCCAGTGCTTATCCTACAGCACCACACTAGGACCTCATAGGGTGCACAGAGAGGGGGGAAAAAAACAACTAGGCTAGTGAGGAGTGAATGGAGAGATAAACAGGAATTCATAAAGAGAGAGAGTGAGAAATAGTTTCTATAAGAATTGAAGACCATGAGTTTTAAGTAGAGTTTGTGGTTTTCACATAATGCTTTAAATTATGTTCCCAAGAGCAGAATCAGGAGACTGTCCCTTCAGACCACAGTCACAAAAGTAAAAAGACAACTCTGAAAGCATACATTTCTTGGTAGTAAAAAAGTAAAGTCTAGCAAAAAACGAATGAACTAACCCTGGTGTGGTGCTGGGGTTTAATGTACTGGGCTACAGAGTCAGTTTGGACTGCAAAGTCAGTGGTTCAAGTTCACTAGCTACTCCTTGGAAACTCTATACAGACAGGGTTGCTATGGGTAGGAACTGACTCCACAGCACATAACAACTATAACATACCAAGATCAAACATAAATTATCCCCACCTTCTTTTAAACTGAACAGTTACATATCTAGATTGAAAAAGTTAATTCAGAGTTCAAAAGTCTACACCAAAGGGGGAGGGAGAGAGTATGTGCCATCAAGCAGAAGGAAAAGTAAACAAATCTGTAAAGGCAATCATAACACACAAGTAACCTTACAATTCCAATAGGGCAAGAATTGTTTGTGCCTAATTAACTTTGGTGTTGTTGTTATGTGCCGTGGAGATGGTTCTGACTCACAGTGACCCTGTACAGGGTTTCCCAGGCTGTAAATCTTTATTGAAGCAGAAAGCCTCATCTGTCTCCCACGGAACCTCTGGTAGTTTCGAACTGCCAACCTTGAGGTTAGCAGCCCGATTCATAACCACTACACTACCGGAGCTCCTTTGGAGACCATCTAAAATAGTTTAAAAAAAAATTTCTCAATTTAGTATTAAGAAAAACTGCCCACCCATTTGTAATCCCACTTCTACACTTTCTGGGCTCTGGACATTATTCAAGTGCAGAAAAAGATGGGAGACTCACTCATGGCAACTACTTTTACCTCCATCTCAATCCTGAAGTTTGCTCTCAGAAACTGTGGCAAAGGACCAGATCTCAGGCAGTTTCTCATACCAGTAATTCTGATTACTCCCTTAGTAAAGGATAGAGAACTGAGACTGGTGCAAACCTAAAATGTATAGAAAATATTAAATACTTACAAGGATTGTTAAGGACTGGGGGTTCAGTGGTTGACATTTCAAATACACCAGCCAATCTGAAGGAGAGAGATGTTGGCAGGCTACTTCTGTAAAGATTACAGTCTTGCAAAGCCTATAGGGTAGATCTAAGATGTACTCTGCCCAATAGTGTCACTGTAAGTTCGAACAGACTGGACGCCAAGGGATTTATAAGGATTGGTAAACATTAGAAACAATCCAGAATCCAAGAAATTTGAGAGGTTTTAAGTGTAAAAAAGCTTTTCTCCTTTTTGTCTTTTCTAAAACAAAGGGCTTGTACAAAATAGGATTCCATGTGCAATTTAAGCTAACGCTGAATAATCATTTATCCAATACTTCTTGTGTAACTTACAAGACAAGTTACATTTATAAGACCTTCTATTTGCAAAGGAACATGTTTTCCAATGTACTCACTAGGTATAAGAAAACTCACGCCCCCCTCTCACATGTTCTGAGACCAAAGATAGCCCGAAACGATTCACTTGTCATCACATGCATCATTCCTCTACTTTGCGGGAGTTCTGAGGACCAAGGAGTCCAAACTCTGCCAAACCATCCCAAACTCCTGGAAACTTGATTCCTCCATCAAGGTGAACAAAACTCCCTCACCTGTGGATAACAAGCCTGTTCTTCAGATATCTGTAAGTCCAACTATCAGGTAATCTTTCCAGGCAAAGTAACTTTTTTTTTTTACTGCGGTAAAATACATATAATAAAATATTCGCCATTTCGACCCTTTTTACATGGACAATTCAGTGACAAGAGTTAGTAACTTTAAAAGGAAGCGAGTGGAAACAGGGAAGATGGAGAGGCGACAAAAATAGGAGTGGACGACCCACCCACCTTTCACGGACCGGGGCTTGTAGGGGTGAAGCTTGGTCAGGAGCCAGGAAGAGGTACGGAGGGCGTAGCGACCCCCACCCACCGAGTGAGAATGGAAGACTAGCAAAGCCAGGGGCCAACTGGAGGCCTGAAAGGGGGCGCGGGGCGGGGAGGGGGTGGGACGTGGATACTCGTAATTCGCGGAGTCGGGCCGAACACAACTAGAGTCCCCAGCAGCGGCGGGGCAAAACCGGGGCAGCTTTGCTAGGTAAGGAGACCCAGTGCTTGCAGCCTCACTCACCTGCCAGACGTTCGCCCCGCGGTCAGGGGCACGGGCGCTGCCTGGGCGCTCCCTCTCCTGCCGGACACAGCCCTTGCCGCCGCCGCTGGAGCTCCAGGACCTGAGAGCCAAGGGTCGAAAACAAGCGGGCAAAGCGGCGACCCGACCCGTGTCCAGGGAGGTGTACATAGGAGGTGCTGAGGGCCCAGGAAGGCAACTCCGTGCCTCACCTTCCTCACCGGCAGCCAACAATGCTTCCCAGGAACAGCATCGTGCCAGTATCTGCCCGCTGCTCCCGGGCCTTCGCCCGCAGCTCCCCCCAGCAGCGGCCCGGCTTCCGGCGTCCTCACCCCGCCCCCTCGCTACTTGGCCGCCGCCATCTTGTAGGAGGCGGGAAGACTATAACGCGCAGGCGTGATCCGAGTTTGCCCGCGGTCCAGACTAGGCGAAGGGACTCGCGCAGTCGCATTGGCTGCTGTTCTCCCACTGCTGCTATTAGCTGCATGGTCTTGTCTTCTGTCAGATTGGTGCTTCTGGAGCAGAAATTTTGGAGTTGCCAGAACGACTGCTATTTTCTTCAGTTGTGTTTCAGCTAAATGAATAGACACTTCGGCTCATCCTCCAGTCACTTTATCTTCCCGGATCTATCGAGTACCTATTATATACTAAACCCCAATCCTTGCATTAGGCAACTCTGCTGCACAAGGCCTCTTTAAAGTGTTGAAGAGCAAAGACGTCAGTTTGAGGACTAAGGTGCACCTGACCCAAGCATGGTATTTTTAATAACTTCATATGTATGCAAAAGTTGGATAGTGAATAAGGAAGACCGTAGAAGAATTGATGCATTTGACTTACGTTGTTGGAGAAGAACTTTAAAAGTACTATGGACTGCCAGAAGAACAAACAAATTTATGTTGGAAGAAGTGCAGCCAGAATACTCCTTAGAACGGATAGTGAAACTTTGCCTCTCATACTTTGGACATGTTATCAGGATGGGCCAGTCCTTAGAGAAGGACGTCATGCTTGGTAAAATGGAGGGTCAGTGAAAAAGAGAAAGACCCCCAATGAGATGGATTGACACAGTGACAACAGTAATGGACTCAAACATAACAACTGTGAGAATGGTGCAGGATTGGGCAGTGTTTTGTTCTGTTCTACTTAAGGTCCCTATGAGTCTGAACCAACTTGATGGCACGTAACAACAACAAAGCTTTGGGTTAGACATTGATAAAACAAAGATGTTTAAAACTGGGGCTCACAATCTAATGAATAAATGCATGAACAAGTAATTATCCAAGTTTTTGCTTGGTAGCTACACCATCAACTATTCCTACTCAACTTCCTCCTCCTCTTACCCTTTCCCCTACGGTTTTATTTAAAACACCTGATCTGAAAGACCGCCCAGTTTGATTCACACCATATGATTAGTTCTTTGCCTTGCATTCCCTTGGCTACTTCTTTATATTCAACAGTAACTCAAAAAATACTGAGTGTCTGTTATATGTGCTAGATACTGTTTCCGGCTTTAGATTTAGAACAATAAGGAACTTACATTCTAGTTGAAAAGAATAGACAAAAAAAGAATAAATTAGTCTAATTTCTGATAGTGATAAGGACTAGGAAGAGACCAAGTCATAGAAAAATGGTGGAGAGTAAAGGGAGTTGATGCATACATGGCATTTGAGCTAAGGTCTGAGAGGAGCAGAAGGGGCAAGGATTCATGGGACTGTGTGAGGCAGAGCATTCCAGAGCAGGACTACAAACAAGTTCTTTCAGGTTTATTCATGGGCAACGAAGTAACAATGGAATGGACACAAACCTGTAAAATATGGGTGAACCAGGAATAATTATGGGTAGACATAATTGCCAGAAACCTAATCTCCCTCTTAGAAAACAAGGACAGTGTGTGTGTGTGTGTGTGTGTGTGTGTGTGTGTGTGTGTGTTGCCTAGCAACCAAATCTCTTGACCAACTAAGTTGAAAACAATGGTGTCCTGCTCAAAGATGGTAACTGATCCCACTGCTATAAATGTGTGTCTCTCTCCACAAATCTGGCAATAATCCAATCTTCCACACCATGCTCCTGAAAAACCTCACTACACCTCTTCTGAGTCTCTCACTTCAGGGCTTTGACCTGTAATTTTTCCCCTTCCAGTTAGCTTTGAAACTACTAGCTGTTCGGCATGAGAAAGATGAGGCTTTCTGCTCCCATACAGATTTACAGTCTCGGCAACCCTGTACAGAGTTGCTATGAGTTGGAACCGACTCCACGGTTCATAACAACAACAACAGTTAGTACTCTGCTTCACTCAAATTTTATAAATTTAGGTCTTTTCCACTTTTGCTTCATTGTCTATCACTGAAGCAGTTCAAACTGGTTTGAAGCCCTGTTCTAAAGAGAGGGAACAGCAAAAATTAAAGTCTGAATTATGAATAGGAATCCCTGGATGGTACAAATGGTTAATGTGTTTGGTTCCTAACAAAAACACTGAATGTTCAAGTCCACCCAAGAACACCTTGGAAATAAGACCTAGTGATCTACCTCTAAAAAATCAGTCTTTAAAAACCCTATGGGACACAATTCTGCTCTGTGATGCTCTTGGGGTCACCAAGGGTCAGAATAGACTTGACAGCAACTGACTTGTAAGTGAGAAAGAGCCTGAAATGTAAGAGGAACAGAAAGAATGGGCTGAGTAGAGATGGGACAAAAAGAGATCGGGGGCATGGGCCAAATGAGGTAGGGCATGGAGACCATGGAGCCACCTGACTTGTCCAACTATTCTTCACACTTCTGAAGCTGCATTGCTCATGCTAATTGGACTGCCTCCAGATGGTTCACCTTGTCTTCACATGCCTACCTTCCGGTCTTCCTTATTGTTTCAGTTCAAATGTCTTCTCAAGAAGGCCATCCTTCCTAAAGTAAGACTCCCTCTTGTCCTCTCCATTATTCTTTATCATTGCATTAGATCCTTTCTTCCATGTTACTCAACATAGGTTTTAACTTCTTATGGGTTCTCTGCTATCTTGTCACTAAGCTGTGAGCTCATTAAGGGAGGAAGTATTTCATTCAACAATGAATATACCATGTCTAGCAGTATGCCAAGGAGCCCCGGTGGCACAGTGGCTAAGCACTTGACTGCTAACCAAAAGAGTAGCAATTTAAACACATCAGTTCTTCCACAGGAGAAAGATGTGGCAGTTTGCTTCTGGAAGATTGTTGTTATTGCTGTTGTTAAGTGCCATCAAATCAGTTTTGACTCATAGTGACCCTGTATAGGGCTTTCAAGGAGCAGCTGGTGGGTTTGAACCACTGACTTTGCATTTAGCAGTCCGGTGCTTATCCTATAATGTCATACCAGTTTGAGAATTTAGAAACCCTATGGTTGAGTTCTGGAAGAAGTGCAGCCAGAGTGCTCCTTGGAGGCCAAGGTGGCCAAACTTTGCCTCTCATACTTCGGACACATTATCAGGAGGGACCAGTCACTGCAGAAGGATATCATGTTTGGTAAGGTGGAGAGTCAGAGAAAAAAAGAAAGAACCCCAACGAGATGGATTGGCCAAGTGGCAGCATCGATGGACTCAAGCATGGCAACAGTAGTGAGGTTGGCCCAGGATTGGGCAGTGTTTCGTTCTGCTGTATATAAGGTCATTATGGGTCAGTACCAACTCAATGGCATCTAACAACAACAACATGTTGAGTTCTACTTTGTCCTATAGATTCTATATGAGTCAGAATCGGCTCAACAGTAAGGGGTTTGTTTTTTAGCAGCATGCCTGACCAGGTGGCCACTTAAAAAATGTTGAATTAATGAATGTTGGAGTTTGCCAAATCATTTCCTATGTATGTGTCTTCTCTGTTACATTATAAATAGGAACCCTAGAGAGAGAGAGAGAGTGAAGGAGCTCCGGTAGCTTAGTGGTTACAAGTTGGGCTGCTAATCACAAGGTCAGCAGTTAGAAAGTACCAGCTGTTCCATGCGAGGAAAATGAGGCTTTCTGCTCCCATAAAACTTTACAGCCTCGGAAACCCAATACAAGGTCACTATGAGTTGGAACCAACTCCATGGCACACCACCACCAGAAAGAGAGTGAGAGACAGTGGGAGGGAATGTTAGATGATGGGAGGGCCATGGGCAGGGATTGTATTGCATATGGTTGAGTAACTGGAAAAACGATGGCTTTAATTTTATGGAGCACCTATGTGCACTATTGTTGTTGTTGTTGTGAAGTGCCGTCGAGTCGGTTCTGACCCATAGCGACCCTGTATAGGGTTTCTGAGGAGCAGCTGGTGAACTTGAACTAGAGATTTAATCCTCATCACAACCCTACTAGATAGTTATCCTTGTATTTATATACAGGAAAAGGCACAGAGATTAAGTCACTTGCCCAAATTTCATACATCAAGTCCCTGCCCTAATCATCAGCAGAAATTGGACCTAAAGGCAGATTTATTTGGTGATTAGACTGCTATTAAAGATTTCAGTTACAGCCATTAAATAATTCTAATCATATTACTATTCTTATATAGGATCCTATTACAGATTAAAGTGTGTTCCCCCCAAAATATATATTTAAACTGGACTAGACCATGATTCTTGGTATTATGTAATTATTCTCCATTTTGTGATCTTCTGCAATTATCCTATGTGTTGAAAATCCACCCTTCTGGTGTGGCACTGTAGAGTAAGCATTCAATCACAAGGTCGGTTTGAATCGCAAGGTCGGAGGTTCAAATGCACTGGTCACTACTTGGAAACCCTATATAGGGTTGCTATGAGTTGGAACTGACTTGATGCACTTAACAACAACAACAATGATGTTAATGAAGGAAGAGTGATTATGAGTTGGGCTGCTAACCACAAGGTCAGCAGTTCAAATGTACCAGCTGCTCCACAGGAGAAGGATGAGGCTTTCTGCTCCAGTATACGTTTACAGCCTCAGAAACCCTATACTAGGTTACCAGCACATAACTGCTATGGCCGTGATGTTAATGGAAAGAGTATAACCGGCACTGAAAGCACTGGCAAAACACAGGACTCCCAGAATTGCCAGGAAACCAACTGATCTGTTTTCACAAGCTGATACAGCGGTAGGAATGCTCATTCGTCTATGCCAAGAAATGTGACCAACAGACAGGAAGAGATCCATATTTGTGCCCATTCCAAAGAAAGAGGACCCAATGGATTGCAGAAATTATCTTATAATGTCACTCATATCAAGAGTGTAGTAGCTCTAGGATAAGCACTGGACTGCGAACCACAAGATTGGAGGTTCAAGCCCCCCAGCCTCTCTGTGTTAGAAAGATGAGACTTTCTGCTTCCACAAAGATTTACAGCCTTGAAACCCTATATAATCAGAACCGACTTGATGACAGTTAACAATATCAATAATATTAC